CATAGTGTAATTACTAGTGAGAGTCTGGTGCTATTTTTAATTTGTATTTTTATATTATTAGATTAAACCTAGTTGTACTTTAGCTCATTCCAGCACAACACAGACAACACCAACTCCATTATGTGTATTAGTGACTATACTCTACATGACCAAAATGCTATAGCTATACACTTGTCCAAACTTCCCACCACTACAGATATCAGTACTAAAACTCAACCCACAACTCAGGATATAAATAACCATAATTTAAACCTAGAAGATGATTGATCACGTTGACCCTGATCTAAACCTCCATAATCTGACACACAATCAAAACCTATTGGAAAGTAACTGCCTTTACTACACAGCATCACAAGCCAGCACTATCCTAAACAATGCTAAAAGTCTATCAGTACTTAACTACAACATCAGGTCCTTAAGCAAACGCTATGATGACCTCCTGGCACTCCTTGAACCCCTAAAGACCCCCCTTCTCCTGCATTATTCTTTTCTGGCCCTGGCTTAAGCGGGGACATAATAAAATTTCTCCCTCTACCGGGAAACCCCGCAATCCACAACTGCAGCCATCCATTTGGGGGGGTGGGGGGGGAAATCTTTGTTTAAACCAATTATCTGTATTAGCCCCCACTTGCTTTAGTGATGAATATGGGAAACTTTTTTTGCTAATTTTACGTAAAAAACCCTTAAGCTTTAGAAAAACGGTGCCATTTACCGGATACCCCCAAAAACACCCAAAATTTCAGTGAGAAAACTAAGGCACTTAATAAACAGCAAAGAAAAAGACCCCCCTTCTCTTAGCTGGAATTAAACATCAACCTTGGCCCTACTAGTGTCACCCTGTAACTGATTTCATCAAAATATGAGCAACACATTCTCATACCAACAATAACTAAACCAAACCCAGGCTCATGAAAAAGTGCAACCATAATGACCACATATGGCCCCAATATCTACCCCCCTTAAAAATTCAGGGTAATCACAGATAGCACAAAAGCACTCCCCTCCTTCCTCTTGAAAAACATTGAAAAACCCCCATTGAATACAAAAAATTTCATTTAGACCCCATGATGGGGCCTCAAAAAGGGAAAGTTCACAGCTCCCCTAGGTCTGGGGATGGCCTAAGAATTCTCCAAGGCCCAATGGTTTGATGACGGGGACGACTTTTTCTTAACAAATTACTTAGATATACAAAACATTGCCATAAAAAAACGAAAACAGTCACAAACAAACGGTTTGGGTTGCCCATGGCAAACCCACACCATTTGAAATCCATTGATAAGAAACCCCAATTAAAAAGAAATATAGACGGGGCTAATACAAAAAGATATTTTTAAAAAACACTATTCATCAGCCTCCCCAAATAATAAATAAGGCCAAACACTATACTACTCAGTAGATTCCTGACACAAGAGGAGATAAAAAAGACCCGGAAAAAAACTCTCTAGTTCTAGGGACCCCCAAACTGAAAAAAACCAAGAATATTGGGCCCCAACTAAACCCAATGAAAAAACCATGATCCCCCTGCCAGCTACAGATAAAAACTTCTTCTCAACCCAAAAGGTTCTAATCGCCAATAAAATCCCCCCTCACCATGCCTGCCGGGGACTACCCAGATGGGAATTTCCCAAAATTCCTTCTTTTGTCCAATGGCCCCCGGGTCACGAGATTATAAAGTCACTTAAAAATAATCGGGGATCTGTTCCCTGTCCCCCCATTATTGTACAAAAGGGGCGGCCCCTGTCTCTGCAGCTATCTCATTACTTTTTAACAAGCACTAGAAACTGCACCTTCCCGTAACTACTCAAGACGGCAAGGGTTTCACCAAAAAAAAGGTGGTGACCTAAGTTTAAAAAAACTATAGGGCCCAATATCAAAATTCCATTGCTACAAAATCTTTGAGAACTCGTGCACAGGAGACTTGTTCATTTATAACGGACAAAACATATCAACCCCCGCCCAATTTTTGGGTTTGGGGAAAAAAAAAAAAAACCCCAAAGATGCAAACATAAAAAAGCTAGATTGCTTTACACAGCATTGGAAAAAAAGGAAAATTTCCCCTAGGGGAATTTTATTTACCCAAGAAAAGCTTTTGACCAGTAGACCCTGGCATCCTACTCCACAAACTTGCCCTTTTTGGGATAAAAGGGCCCTGCGCTTGCAATTTCAAAACTTACCTTACTAAAAGGTATCAGTATGTAACCCTTAAAGACCCCAATCAACCACAGCCCCCTTGATACTGGGTTCCCCAGGAAATGTCCTTGGGCCCCGCCCTTTCCCCTATATTATGATCTTCCAAGTATCTCAACACCTGAACCCCCTTTTCTTTGCTGAGACACGACTTATGTATCTCTCACCCCAATCTTGCCCCTCAACACCATTGTTAATGGGAGCTGTCAAAAATATCGCTTGGATGACAGCAATAAACTTATGCTAACACTGACAAAAAACCCCTACATTTGTTTTGGGAGCAGACAGGAGATGTGCAAATTAACATTAAGATCGAAACCTCTAATTGTAGGGATAATGAGGGCAAATTCCCGGCCCTTTCCCCGAAAAAACCTGAACTTCGCCCCATTCCAACAAATAACCAAAAAGTATCCAAAAAAGGTTGGGATCCTCTCCAAGTTCGTACTACGTGCCGCAAATGCCCTTCTCACACTTACCATTCACTTATATTCCTACCTCCCTATGCTATTTTTGCTTGGGGTTCAACTGCAGCAACACACCTAAAGCCAATATAACCCAACAAAAAACTTTTCAGTAAGAAAAATCACAAAACCCTTCCCCGGCAACCCCCCCCCCACCTTCTGATTAAACTTACTCCCCGTTCGTCATCCCCCTTTACTGTGCAAAACTAAACTACAGGACCTTAAATTCCAATTTTAATGGGCCTAAAGCTTTCTTGATGTTGCGACAGAACCCCCCCGGCGCAACACCAGGGCACAAACTCTTATGACATTCCCCCTGTCCGACAAACCTTTACAAAATTCAATGTTTGCAAAGGCCCAAAATCGGAACACCCTCCGAAAATTCTAAACTGCGAAATTTTTATTACCCTTTAAAAAACCATGAAACATCTTATCTCCTTTATAACCCGTCAAACTAAATTTCACGAAACCACCCGGTGGTTAAAATTACACTACCACCTTTGACCTAAACAGAAATATAAATTCAATCTCAAAAAAAGAAATTTTAAATGGGATAAGTTTTTGGGCCCGTGATACTCCAATACTGAAAATATGTTAGTCCAAAACAAAAGCATTCACTTTCTAAACTCCAAAAATAGTTTTTAGTCACTTAGCCATAAACCAATTCCTCATAATTTTGTAATATTTTAAATTAAAATTTTAATTTTAAATCTGCCCCAAATGCCTACCTGCTAGGTGTTTGTGGTACACTCTGTAATTATTATTTTTATCTGTAACCATCAATAAACCAAAATTTTGTAAACTCGCATTGTAATCCCATAGAGAATAAAATTTGAAATTTAATTGAAGTATTAGTAGAGGGGTGAAGTGGGTTGTTGAGGTGGTTTGGTTTTAGAGAGAAAGGATCAAAGTAGAATGAATGGGGGCATTTTAAAACGTAGGGGAAGGAAGGCGGGGTAGGGGTCGTCCTTGAAAAGGTTGGAGGGAGGGGGTAAAGTTGGTTTTGTGGGTGAGGGGCTTGGACTTCCAGCAAGCGTGCGTGAGCATGTTAGATAGGAGTGAATGGAGACGAATAGTTTTTGGGACCTGACGAGCTGTTGGAGTGTGAGCAGGGTAATATTTAGTGAAGGGATTCAGGTAAACTGGTTATTTTTATATAGCCGGACTTGAGTTCTGGAAATGGGAAGTACAGTGGACCCCCGACTTACGATCAGCTCCCAACTCAAACAATTATGTAAGTGTATTTTTGTAAAGTGCTTTTGTAAGTGTATTTTTGGGGGTCTGAAACAGACTAATCTAATTTACAATATTCCTTACGGGAGCAAATTCGTTCGGTAACGGCACCCGAACAGCCTTCTGGAACGAATTAATATCGTAAGTCGGGGGTCCAGTGTACAGTGCCTGCACTTTAAAGGAGGGGTTTGGGATATTGGCAGTTTGGAGGGATATATTGTGTATCATTATATGTATATGCTTCTCAACTGTTGTATTCTGAGCACCTCTGCAAAAACAGTGATTATGTGTGAGTGAGGTGAAAGTGTTGAATGATGAAAGTATTTTCTTTTTGGGGATTTTCTTTCTTTTTGGTCACCCTGCCTCGGTGGGAGATGGCCAACTTAAAAAAAAAAATCTCCTGCAAGTGGTGGCGTATTGAAACTCACTCGTAACTCTGATTTTAGCTCGCAACTCAAAGGAAAAAATGAGCCATGCGATGGCTCGTAACTCAGAAAACTCATAAGTTGGGGCACTTGTAAATCAAGGTACCACTGTACATGAAAAGTCTTTAAATTACTTTCAGGATGTGCAAATGATATATGTACTGTATTAATTGAATTGGTTATTAATGTATAGTATATTAATATGATTTATTTACCATGAGTTCTCAATAGATTTTAGTATTCCATTGTATTAGGTTGATTACACAAATAACCCGCACATAAAAGAGAGAAGCTTACGACGACGTTTCGGTCCGACTTGGACCATGGTCCAAGTCGGACCGAAACGTCGTCGTAAGCTTCTCTCTTTTATGTGCGGGTTATTTGTGTATCGTTCCAGCCACGGTATTGTGCCTTTTTTGTTATTTATTAGGTTGATTCATGTTCATAGTTAACATTCATTTCCAATTTCATTAGTAAAAATTCATTTTCTCAATGACTCACAAAATTGTAATAACACAATTGCAAACAGACCACAGAATGGTTGGGGTTTGAAGCCATCATAAATGAGTCCTAAATTATGGCTTGCTTTCCATGATTCATTTTCTTGGTGTTGTGAAGTAGTAGTGTGATGAGTTATTTATATTACTGAGTAGCAGCATATATGGCACTTAAACAATATTATCTTTTCTTTTAGGATTCACCTAATGTATCTTATATTGAGAAGGATAAGAAAATGGAGTCTGAGCTCATATCCACAGACACAAAGGAAGAAAAGGCCATCACTTTCATTGGAGCTCTCAGAATCCCGGTAAGCTCACTTTCAAACTTCACTTAGCAGTATAATTTATTCTTTTAAATGAAGACAGAGCTTAGTGAACTGGGGATCAAGCTTCTGGCACTCTGTGTAGGTTTATTGCCTACTTGCATAAATAATACCATAATTATAAACCATTTTAAAATCCAGTTTATGTAACTTTTTATGTTTGATTACGGTAGGACTCCCACATCAGCTATGGAAGGGGGGGGGATAAGTTCCAACCCCTACCATGGATACCGAAAATCGTGGATAGTAGCAAACCTTATATACAAGTCCTTTTTCGTTTACACACATACCTATGTGTTGAGTCTTGGAGGGGTGTAGGGATGGAGGCTGGAAGCAACCAGGTAGTATGATGGTGACGATGTGGGTGGCAGTGTTGGTGGCCCATTGTGGATGGTAGTGTGGATAATGGGTGACTGAGCAAGTGAGTGTGCAGCTTGTGTGGGCAATAATTAGGGTGGCTGGTGTCTACGTGATTAGGAGTGTAGATGGCATGTTAGGGTCTGTGGGCCATGAAAACATGGGTTAGGTATGGGTGTGGGGCTTTGAGGGCTAGAAGCTGTGGGGGAATGGTGAGTGAAAGCATGAGTGAGGGGCAGGGCCGTGTGGGCTAGGTGGTATGGGTGGGGGTTGGGCAGGGGGGGGGGGTTGCTGGGTGTACAGCAAGGTTATGGTCATGGGAGAGTGGGTGGCTGAGGTGGGACTGGATGCGTATTGTATCTGTATCAGTTGTGTATGACCTGTCTCAGCACTAGTGCCTCGGCTCTCCCTTGTGAGCTATAAGCTCCTCCCTTCCCACTTTGTAGCATACCAAATGGTGATTTTATTGTATTAAAATCACTAACACCCACCACGATCACCACTCACCACTACCACCACGACCATGAAACACCACTATGACCCACAACCACCACCACCACCATGGCCACCACTGCCACGGCCACCACTGCCACGGCCACCACTGCCATGGCCACCACCACCATGGCCACGGCCACCACCACCATGGCCACGGCCACCACCACCACCATGGCCATGACCACCATGGCCATGGCCACCACCACCACCATGACCACAGCCACCACCACGACCACGGCCGCTACCACCACCACCATGGCCATGGCCACCACCACCACCACCACCATGGCAACCACCACTGCCACTGCCACCACCACCTCCCACTGCCACTACCACCACCTCCACCTCCCACTGCCACCACCACCCTCCACCACCACCTCCACCTCCCACTGCCACCATGGCCACCACTGCCACGGCCACGACTGCCACGGCCACCACTGCCATGGCCACCACCACCATGGCCACGGCCACCACCACCATGGCCACGGCCACCACCACCATGGCCACGGCCACCACCACCACCATGGGCCATGGCCACCACCACCACCATGACCACAGCCACCACCACGACCATGGCCACTACCACCACCGCCATGGCCACCACCACCACCATGGCAACCACCACTGCCACTGCCACCACCACCTCCCACTGCCACTACCACCACCTCCACTCCCACTGCCACCACCACCCTCCACCACCACCTCCACCTCCCACTGCCACCACCACCCTCCACCACCACCCACCACCACCACCACCCACCACCGCCACCACCCACCGCCGCCACCACTCACCACTACCACCACCACCTCCCACTACCACCCACTGCCACCCCCTCCCATTGCTGCCACTACCACCCACTGCCAATCACCACCACCACACCACTGCCACCACCTCCCACTGCCACCACCTCCCACTGCCACCACCACCCACTGCCACCACCACCCACTGCCACTCGCATCGCCACCGCCATCCACTGCTACTTCCCACCGCTACCACCACCAACTGCCACCACCACCCACTGCCACCCCCTCCCATTGCTGCCACTACCACCCACTGCCAATCACCACCACCACACCACTGCCACCACCTCCCACTGCCACCACCTCCCACTGCCACCACCACCCACTGCCACCACCACCCACTGCCACTCGCCACCGCCACCACCATCCACTGCTACTTCCCACCGCTACCACCACCCACTGCCACCACCACCCACTGCTACTCGCCACCGCCACCACCATCCACTGCTGCTTCCCACCGCTACCACCACCCACTGCCACCACCTTCCACCGTTGCCGTTGCTGCTGCTGAGAAGATGACAACTTTTGGCAGTGCCAGTATGTGCCTGTTTTCTGACACATCTTAGTGAAACTTTATATGACCATGTTTTATGTACTCTTATTCAAAAAATAAAAAATGAATAAAATTGGAAGATGTACAATATTTTCGGGCTGAGGTAAACTGTGGATACCAAACCAGCAGATATGGGGTCCTACTGTATTCTTTTCTTCTTTTTTACATGGTTAATAATATCTCTGCTGTGCATTGTTTGCTTCTAACTTGAAGTTTATTACATAGAAAAAGGAGGATTTTGTTATACTGGTACACTCCACAAATCTGGCTTCTTCTTCTTCTTCTTTTTTTTTTCTTTTTTTTTGTGTGTGTGTATTCATCTAGTTGTACTCGCCTAGTTGTGGTTGCAGGGGTCGAGTCATAGCTCCTGGCCCCGCCTCTTCACTGGCCCCACTACTGGATCACTCTCCCTGCACCATGAGCTTTATCATACCTCTGTTTAACCCTTAAATGGTCCAAACGTATATATACGTTTTTTCAACATCTGAAAGTATGTAAAAAAATGTAGATCTTTTTTGTTTTACATTTGAAAACGTGTAAAAAAACTATTATCTACATTTTTTTTGTTATATTTGAAAATATGTAAAAAAAAGTAGATCTACTTTTGTAGCAATACGAATTTGAACGTCGATCTGTTTGGACCGTTTAAGGGTTAAAGCTATGAATGGATCCTGCCTCCACTACGTTGCCTCCCAAACTATTCCACTTCCTTACTACTCTGTGACTGAAGAAATACTTCCTAACATCCCTGTGACTCATCTGAGTCTTCAGCTTCCATCTATGTCCCCTTGTTGCTGTGTCCCATCTCTGGAACATTCTGTCTCTGTCCACCTTGTCAATTCCTCTCAGCATTTTATTATATGTCTTTATCATGTCCTCTGTATCTCTCCTGCCCTCCAGTGTCGTCAGGTCGATTTCCCATAACCTCTCCTCGTAGGACATACCCCTTAGCTCTGGGACTGGTCTTGTTGCAAACCTTTGAATTTTCTCTAGTTTCTTTATATGCTTGGCCAGGTGTGGGTTCCAAACTGGTGCCACATACTCCAGTATGGGCCTAACGTACACAGTGTACAGGGTCCTGAACGATTCCTTATTAAGATGGCTGAATGCTATTCTTAGGTTTGCTAGGCACCCATATACTGCAGCAATTATTTGGTTGATGTGTGCCTCAGGAGATGTGCCTGGTGTTATACTCACGCCCAAGATCTTTTTCCTTGAGTGAGGTTTGTAGTCTCTGGCCCCCTAGACTGTACTCCGTCTGCAGTCTTCTTTGCCCTTCCCCAATCTTCATGACTTTGCACTTGGTGGGGTTGAACTCCAGGAGCCAATTGCTGAACCAGGCCTGCAGCCTATTCAGATCCCTTTGTAGTTCTGCCTGGTCCTCGTTCGATTGAATTCTTCTCATCAACTTCACATCATCTGCAAACAGGGACACTTCGGAATCTATTCCTTCCGTCATGTCGTTCACAAATACCAGAAACAGTACAGGTCCTAGGACAGACCCCTGTGGAACCCCACTCGTCACAAGCGCCCACTTTGACACCTCACCACACACCATGACTCGTTGCCGTCTTCCTGACAGATATTCCCTGATCGATTGTAGTGCCTTCCCTGCTATCCCTGCCTGGTCCTCCAGTTTTTGCACTAATCTCTTGTGTGGAACTGTGTCAAACATTTTCTTACAGTCCAAGAAAATGCAGTCTACCCACCCCTCTCTCATGTCTTACTGCTGTCACCCTGTCATAGAACTCCAGTAGGTTTGTGACACAGGATTTCCCGTCTCACAAACCCGTTGTTGATAAGCTCATTCCTTTCTAGGTGTTCCACCACTCTTCTCCTGATAATCTTCTCCATGACTGCATATTAATGTCAGTGACACTGGTCTATAGTTTAGTGCTTCATGTCTCTCCTTTTTTAAAAATTGGGACTACATATACTGTCTTCCATACCTCAGGTAATCTTCCTGTTTCGATAGATGCATTGAATATTGTTGTTAGGGGTACATATAGCGCCTCTGCTCCCTCCCTCGGAATCCATGGAGAGATGTTATCCAGCCCCATCGCCTTTGAGGTATCTAGCTTGCTCAGCAGCCTCTTCGTTTCTTCCTCGGCTGTATGTATTGTGTCTGACACTTGGTGGTGTGCCCCACCTCTCCATCTTTCTGAAGTCCCTTCTGTTTCTTCGTGAACACTTCTTTGAATCTCATGTTGAGTTCCTCACATACTTTGTAGTCGTTTCTTGTGATCTCTCCTCCTTTCTTCTTTTGCCTGATTACCTGGTCCTTGATTGTTGTTTTCCTCCTGATGTGGCTGTACAACAGCTTCAGGTCAGATTTGGCTTTTGCTGCTATGTCATTTTCATATTGTCATTGGGCCTCCCTTCTTACCTGTGCATATTCATTTCTGGCTCTATGACTGCTCTCCTTATTCTCCTGGGTACTTTGTCTTCTATACTACTTCCATTCCCTAACACGCTTGGTTTTGGCCTCCCTGCACCTTTGGGTGAACCACAGGCTCGTCCTGGCTTTTTCATTATTCCTGTTACCTTTGGGTACAAACCTCTCCTCAGCTTCCTTGCATATTGTTGTCACATATTCCATCATCTCATTTACTGACTTCCCTGCCAGTTCTCTGTCCCACTGAACCCCATTCAGGAAGTTCTTTATTCCTGCATAGTCCCCTTTCTTGTAGTTTGGCTTCATTCATCTGGCTCTTCCTGCTTCCCCCTCCACTTGTAACTCTACTGTGTATTAGAATCTTAAAACCACATGATCGCTGGCCCCAAGGGGTCTTTTATATGTAATGTCCTCAATATCTGCACTACTCAAGGTGAATACTAGGTCCAGTTTCACTGGTTCATCCTCTCCTCTCTCTCTGGTAGTGTCCCTTACATGTTAGTACATGAAGTTTTCCAGTACCACCTCCATCATCTTAGCCCTCCACTTTTCTTGGCCCCATGTGGCTCCAAGTTCACCCAATCGTGTGTGTGTGTGCACGTGTGTGCGCACGCGTATGCTCATGTGTGCGTGTGTGTGTATGCGAAATGTGTGTGTGTGTGTGTGTGTGTGTGTGTGTGTGTGTGTGTGTGTGTGTGTGTGTGTGCTCCCTCATATCTACTTCTTAATTTAATGAATGTTTGGTATTAAAAATCTCATAGTTGCAAATTAATGTTCACTAACCTAAGACCCTGAACCATGGAAATTCATTGAGGATATATATATGCCTGTGTATGCATATTTTGCTTACATAATCTGCTAATCATTTCTGTCTTTATTTCAGGGTGTAATTGAGTTCTCCATGTGTCTCTTCTTTGCCAAGCTTGTATCCTACACATTTTTGTACTGGCTACCAAACTACATTGCAAACAACAGTGGGTATTTCTTTGTTCTACAGAATAAACAGAAGTAAAATGGCTGTTTTAATTCTCAGTTTAATACTATGTTAGTTATGTGTTAAATCTGTTTTGTTACTTATATGATGCTAATTTTTTCTTGTATGCAGTAACTGCAATTGAGTTCTGATGCATTTTATACCAATATATACTAATTAAATTGCAATTCGTTGGCTTAACATTAAGATGAGTACTGAGGGACCCAACAATGTGGGAAAAATAGAAAAATAAGAATTACTGTTGAGACAGTACTGTGCTTTGTGAACTTAACCCCTTCGGTGTCGATCTCATAAAATTATGGCTTTGAAGCAAGTGTCGGTCCCGTAATACAATGCCAAAATTCTAGCGGCTTAAAATCTTGCGGGAGAAGGCTGGTAGGCCTACGTATGAGAGAATGGGTCTGCATGGTCTGTGTGTGCAGTATAAAAAAAATCCAGCAGCAAGCAGTGTATAGTGTGAAAAAAACTGCGACTGTGTTTTTGGTCTAAAATAGCAACTTTGCAGTGTATTTTCGTATTGTATTTATGGTTGTGTTCTTGTTTTCTTGGTCTCATTTGATAGAATGGAAAATATAGTACAGAAATAGAGGTGATTTGAATGGGTTACTGACTAAAATTAGCTTAAAATTGAGCTCAAAGTAGCAGAAATGTTGGATTTTTGACCATGTTCAAGAGAAAACAAATCACGTCACGTATGCAATACACATCAACTGGTAGGTCTAATATGCATTCACGAATGTGCTTATATTATTTATACAATTATTACATTTACGCAGTAGTCTGAATAACAGTAAATCATCTATTTTTTGTGTGAATAAAAAATTGAAAATGAAAAGCAAGTGTAATATAAGAGGGGCCTGGAGATGTGACTAATGAAAAGGAAATGTTATTTTAGTGCCAGGAATGTCTGTATTGTTTATTTTGGCCCCTATTTTGAAATTAGCCTTTCTTAAATTTTGTGTGAAACTGGCCAAATTAGTAATTTCTGCTCACTTTTTTTTTTTTGTGTAGTTGATGTAGGTAAATGGGCAGTTTCTTCTACTCGGTCGATAGAATAAAAGGAGTTCTAGTGAAATAGCTATGAGTTTTGTTGAGTAGAACAAAGGAATTGGCTCAAAATAGGGCTCCAAGTGGACAAAATTGCTGATGTGTAAATATCGCCGAGACCGCTAACTTCGCAAGTGTAATTCCGTAAGTTTTCCATCAAATTTTGAACTTTTGGTTTCATTACCTTTGGAAAAAGATTCTCTATTATTTCATAAGAATTTTTTTTCTTTAAATTCTCCCACACTATGAGCAAGTTTGCGAGCAGGGGTCTCGACACTCAAAGGGTTAATAATAACAACACTATAGTATTGGTTATGTAAATAATTGAAACTAAAAGTTATTGTAAGCAATTAGATTGAAAATAATTGCTTAATATGTATTCAGAGAGCTCTGCAGTATTACTATGTATCGTTGATTGGTTTTCACCAAGGTTAACCCTTTGACTGTTTCAGTCGTATATATACGTCTTACGAGACACCGTTTTTGACGTATATATACTCATAAATTCTAGCGGCTTAAGATCAAGCAGGAGAAAGCTGGTAGGCCCACATGTGAAAGAATGGGTCTGTGTGGTCAGTATGCACCATATAAAAAAAATCCTGAAGCACGCAGTGCATAATGAGAAAAAAAACTCCGACCATTTTTTTATTAAAATGCCGACTTTGTGGTCTATTTTCATATAGTATTTATGGTTGTATTCTCGTTTTCTTGGTCTCATTTGATAGAATGGAAAACATATTATAGAAATAGAGGTGATTTTGATTGGTTTTACTACGAAAAGAGCCTTGAAATGGAGCTCAAACAGGGGAAATGTTTGATTTTTGCCAATGTTCAAAAGTAAACAAATGATGTCATTTTCCAATAAATGTCAAGTAAGCCATTCTAATATGCAGTCATGAATGGGTTGACATTATTTTTACAATTATTACAATATTGCAGTAATCTGCATAACAGTAAATCTTCTATTTTTTTGTTTGAATAAAAATTCAAAATAGAAAGCAAGAGTAATATCAGAGGGGCCTGGAGACGTGACTGATGAACAAAGAAAATGTTATTTTAGAGCCAGGAATGTCTGCATTGTTCATTCTGGACTCTATTTTGAAATTGTCATATTTTTAAATTTTTGTGAAATTGGCCAAATTGCAAATTTCTGACCACATTATTGGGTAGTTGAAATTGGTAAATGGGCAGTTTCTTGTACTTAATCGATAGAAAAAATAGAGTTCTAAAGAAATAGCTATGAGTTTGGTCGACTGGAACATTGGAATTAGCTGAAAATAGGGCTCAAAGTGGGCGAAATCGCCGATTCGTAAATATCGCCGAGGTCGCTAACTTTGTGAGAGCATAATTCCATCAGTTTTCCATCAAATTTTGTTCTTTTGGTGTCATTACAATCGGGAAAAGATTCTCTATCATTTCATAAGAATTTTTTTTTTTTTTTTTGGAAATTTTGCGGCACCAGGAGACACCTCAGGATTTGGGGTTGCGACAGTCAAGGGGTTAATATAAGGAAATACCTTTAGTTAATGCAGAAGGTAAACTGACATTAAATTCAGAAATAACTTGAGTATTTATGTGACACCCATGATTTTGTATCCCATTTTTTTAAGTAACAGATAAGCTATTAATTATGTGATTTGAAAATTAACCCTTTGAGGGTCCGTCCCATAGTTTTACGGCTCTGAAACTAGGGTCAAAATCGTAGTATTATGTCATGAGCTCAGCTCACTCAGATAAGCCTAGATATGAGAGAATGCATCTATGTGGTAAGTGTGCACCATATAAAACAAATCCTGCAGCAGGCAGTGCATAATGAGGAAAAACTGCAACTGTGTTTTTGGATTAAAACAGCAACTTTGGGATATACAGTGGACCCCCACATAACGATATTATTTCAATCCAGAAGTCTGTTTGGGTGCCGTTATAGACCGAATTTGTTCCCATAAGAAATATTGTGAATTAGATTAGTCCATTTCAGACCCCTAAAAATACACCTACAAAAGCACTTACAAAAATAAACTTACATAATTGGTCGAGTTGGGAGCTGATCGTTATCCGGGGGTCCACTGTATTTTCATATGGTTTTATCAGTTGTATTTGCGGTTTCTTGGTCTCATTTGATAGAATGGAAGATATATTACAGAAATAGAGGTGATTTTAATTGGTTTTAGAACTCAAAATAGCTTGAAATTGAGCTCAAATTAGCTGCACTGTTCAATTTTTCCAATGTTCAAGACTAAACAAATCACATCACATGTTCAATACACGTCAGCTGGTGGGTCTACTGTGTGTTTACGAATGCGCTGATGTTATTTTTACAATTATTGCAATATTGCATAACAGTAAATCTACTTTATTGCTGTGAATAAAAATTCTTTGTGAATAAAAAATCAAAATGGAATTCATCTGTAAAGCCTGGAAATATAACACATTAACAGAGGAAATGTTATTTTAGTGTCAGGAATGCCTGCATTGTTTATTATTGACCCTATTATGAAATTGGAATATTTTGAACTGTGTGTGAAATTGGTCAGATTACCAATTTCCGATCACTTTATTGAGTAGTTGAAATAGTTGAGTTGGGGATTTGTTATGCTCACTAGATAAAACTGGGATGCTTGAATGTGCGTGGATGTAGTGCGGATGACAAGAAACAGATGATTGCTGATGTTATGAATGAAAAGAAGTTGGATGTCCTGGCCCTAAGTGAAATGAAGCTGAAGGGGGTAGGGGAGTTTTGGTGGGGGGAAATAAATGGGATTAAATCTGGAGTATCTGAGAGAGTTAGAGCAAAGGAAGGGGTAGCAGTAATGTTGAAGGATCAGTTATGGAAGGAGAAAAGATAATATGAATGTGTAAATTCAAGAATTATGTGGATTAAAGTAAAGGTTGGATGCGAGAAGTGGGTCATAATAAGCGTGTATGCACCTGGAGAAGAGAGGAATGTAGAGGAGAGAGAGAGATTTTGGGAGATGTTAAGTGAATGTATAGGAGCCTTTGAACCAAGTGAGAGAGTAATTGTGGTAGGGGACCTGAATGTTGAAGTAGGAGAAACTTTTAGAGAGGGTGTGGTAGGTAAGTTTGGGGTGCCAGGTGTAAATGATAATGGGAGCCCTTTGATTGAACTTTGTATAGAAAGGGGTTTAGTTATAGGTAATACATATTTTAAGAAAAAGAGGATAAATAAGTATACAAGGTATGATGTAGGGCGAAATGACAGTAGTTTGTTGGATTATGTATTGGTAGATAAAAGACTGTTGAGTAGACTTCAGGATGTACATGTTTATAGAGGGGCCACAGATATATCAGATCACTTTCTAGTTGTAGCTACACTGAGAGTAAAAGGTAGATGGGATACAAGGAGAATAGAAGCATCAGGGAAGAGAGAGGTGAAGGTTTATAAACTAAAAGAGGAGGCAGTTAGGGTAAGATATAAACAGCTATTGGAGGATAGATGGGCTAATGAGAGCATAGGCAATGGGGTCGAAGAGGTATGGGGTAGGTTTAAAAATGTAGTGTTAGAGTGTTCAGCAGAAGTTTGTGGTTACAGGAAAGTGGGTGCGGGAGGGAAGAGTAGCGATTGGTGGAATGATGATGTAAAGAGAGTAGTAAGGGAGAAAAAGTTAGCATATGAGAAGTTTTTACAAAGTAGAAGTGATGCAAGGAGGGAAGAGTATATGGAGAAAAAGAGAGAGGTTAAGAGAGTGGTGAAGCAATGTAAAAAGAGAGCAAATGATAGAGTGGGTGAGATGTTATCAACAAATTTTGTTGAAAATAAGAAAAAGTTTTGGAGTGAGATTAACAAGTTAAGGAAGCCTAGAGAACAAATGGATTTGTCAGTTAAAAATAGGAGAGGAGAGTTATTAAATGGAGAGTTAGAGGTATTGGGAAGATGGAGGGAATATATTGAGGAATTGTTAAATGTTGATGAAGTTAGGGAAGCTGTGATTTCGTGTATAGGGCAAGGAGGAATAACATCTTGTAGGAGTGAGGAAGAGCCAGTTGTGAGTGTGGGGGAAGTTCGTGAGGCAGTAGGTAAAATGAAAGGGGGTAAGGCAGCCGGGATTGATGGGATAAAGATAGAAATGTTAAAAGCAGGTGGGGATATAGTTTTGGAGTGGTTGGTGCAATTATTTAATAAATGTATGGAAGAGGGTAAGGTACCTAGAGATTGGCAGAGAGCATGTATAGTTCCTTTGTATAAAGGCAAAGGGGACAAAATTGAGTGCAAAAATTATAGGGGGATAAGTCTGTTGAGTATACCTGGTAAAGTGTATGGTAGAGTTATTATTGAAAGAATTAAGAGTAAGATGGAAAATAGGATAGCAGATGAACAAGGAGGCTTTAGGAAAGGTAGGGGGTGTGTGGACCAGGTGTTTACAGTGAAACATAAGTGAACAGTATTTAGATAAGGCTAAAGAGGTCTTTGTGGCATTTATGGATTTGGAAAAGGCGTGTGACAGGGTGGATAGGGGGGCAATGTGGCAGATGTTGCAGGTGTATGGTGTAGGAGGTAGGTTACTGAAAGCAGTGAAGAGTTTTTACGAGGATAGTGAGGCTCAAGTTAGAGTATGTAGGAAAGAGGGAAATTATTTCTCAGTAAAAGTAGGCCTTAGACAAGGATGTGTGATGTCTCTGTGGTTGTTTAATATATTTATAGATGGGGTTGTAAGAGAAGTAAATGCAAGGGTCTTGGCAAGAGGCGTGGAGTTAAAAGATAAAGAATCACACATAAAGTGGGAGTTGTCACAGTTGCTCTTTGCTGATGACACTGTGCTCTTGGGAGATTCTGAAGAGAAGTTGCAGAGATTGGTGGATGAATTTGGTAGGGTATGCAAAAGAAGAAAATTAAAAGTGAATACAGGAAAGAGTAAGGTTATGAGGATAACAAAAAGATTAGATGATGAAAGATTGGATATCAGATTGGAGGGAGAGAGTATGGAGAAGGTGAATGTATTCAGATATTTGGGAGTGGACGTGTCAGCGGATGGGTCTATGAAAGATGAGGTGAATCATAGAATTGATGAGGGGAAAAGGGTGAGTGGTGCACTTAGGAGTCTGTGGAGACAAAGAACTTTGTCCTTGGAGGCAAAGAGGGGAATGTATGAGAGTATAGTTTTACCAACGCTCTTATGTGGATGTGAAGCATGGGTGATGAATGTTGCAGCGAGGAGAAGGCTGGAGGTAGTGGAGATGTGATGTCTGAGGGCAATGTGTGGTGTGAATATAATGCAGAGAATTCGTAGTTTGAAAGTTAGGAGGAGGTGCGGGATTACCAAAACTGTTGTCCAGAGGGCTGAGGAAGGGTTGTTGAGGTGGTTCGGACATGTAGAGAGAATGGAGCGAAACAGAATGACTTCAAGAGTGTATCAGTCTGTAGTGGAAGGAAGGCGGGGTTGGGGTCGGCCTAGGAAAGGTTGAAGGGAGGGGGTAAAGGAGGTTTTGTGTGCGAGGGGCTTGGACTTCCAGCAGGCATGCGTGAGCGTGTTTGATAGGAGTGAATGGAGACAAATGGTTTTTAGTACTTGACGTGCTGTTGGAGTGTGAGCAAAGTAACATTTATGAAGGGGTTCATAAATAAAGAAACAAGAATGTATTAGATTAAGGAGAAAAAACTAGTTGTATTATATATATCATATGCTTGTGCGTGTCTGTGAAGTGTGACCAAAGTGTAAGATAGGGTAGCATGATTTACTGTTATCTAGCGTGTTTATTGAGACAGGAAATATATATATATTTTTATTTATTTTTTTTATCACACCGGCCGATTCCCACCAAGGGAGGGTGGCCCGATAAAAAAGAAAACTTTCTCTTCATTCTACTCCATCACTGTTCTTGCTGATGGGTGCTTTACACTACAGTTTTTATTAAACTTGCAACTTTAACACCCCTCCTTCAGAGTCAGGCCACCTGTTACTTCCCAATCTCAGGATCAGTCGGCTGCCGGTTTCCCTGAATCCCTTTTAAATGTTATTTTGCTCACACTCCAACAGCAGTCATGTATTTAAAAAACCTTTGTCCCATTCAACTCTATCAAACTCAGCTCACGCATGCCTGCTGGAAGTCCAAGCCCCTCGCACCAAAAAGCCTCCTTTACCCCTTCCTCCAACCCTTCCTGGCCGACCCCTACCCGCCTTCCTTTCCACTACGACTGATAACACTCTTGAGTCATTCTGTTTCGCTCCATTCTCTCTACATGTCCGAACCACATCAAAACCCTTCCTCAGCCCTCTGGGAAACAAGTTTTGGTAATCCCGCATCCTCCTAACTTCCAAACTACGAATTCTCTGCTTATATTCACACACACATTGCCATCAGACAGTGACATCTCCACTGCCTCCGCCATCTCCTCGCTCGCAAACCAATTCATCACCCACGCTTCAAACCCATATTAAGAGCGTTTGGTAAAACTATACTCTCCATACATTCCCTCTTTGCCTCAAAGGACAAAGTTCCTTTGGCCCACAGGACCTCCTAAGTGCACCACTCACTCTTTTTCCTCATAATTCTATGATTCACCCTCATACTACCCCCACTCACAAGACCCATCCCCCCCCCCCCCCCCCCCCCCACTCCCGGCCCCCCCTTTGTCCCCCCCCACGCCTCTCCCCCCCCCCTCCTCCCACCAACTCTCCCCCCTACCCAACCCAAAGACCAATACGTTACACTACCTCCACCTACTCCCCCTCTCCCCCTACCAACTCTGATTATCAATCTTTCATCACTAATTCTTTTTTGTTATACTCATACCTTACTCTTTCTGTATTCTACCTTTTAATTTTCTCTTTTGCACACCCTACAAATTCATCCACCAATCTCTGCAACTTCTCTTCAGAATCTCCAAGCAGCACCTAGTGTCATCAGCAAGAGCAGACTGTGACAACTCCCACTTTGTGTGGTGTGTGATTCATTTATCTTTTTAACTCCACGCCTCTTGCCAAGACCCTCGAATTTTACCTGTCTCTTTCACCCCATCTATTATTATATTATACAACGACAGGGGTGCTTCACACATCTTGTCTAAGGCCTACTTTTACTGGATCCGGAAGTACATATTTCCCTCTTTCCTACATACTCTAACTTGAGCCTCACTATCCTCGTAAAAACCTATCGTGCTTTGCAGTAACCTACCTCCTACACCATACACCTTGCAACATCTGCCACAGCCCCCCTATCCACCCTGTCTACGCCTTTTCCAAATCCACTTGAATGCCACAAGACCTCTTTAGCTATCAAATACTGTGCACTTATTGTTTCACTGTAAACACCTGGTCCACACACCCCCCTACCTTTCCTAAGCCTCCTTCGTTTCATCTGTATTCCTTTTCTCCGGGACCTCTTTACTCTAATTTTTCAATTATAACTCTTCCATACACTTTCCAGGTACACTCCAGAACTTATACCCTTATAATCTTTGCACTCTCTTTTATCCCCTTTTGCCTTTTATCAAGGAACTACTGCATGTCTCTGCCAATCCCTGGGACCTTACCCTCTTCCATACATTTATAAAATAATTAGCACAAACTCTCAAAAACTATAATCCACCTGCTTTTAACATTTCTATTCTTGGATCCCATCAATCCCGGCTTGCCCTTATCCCCGTTTTCATTATACCTACCTGCCTCTACTGAAAACTTTCACCCAACACTCAAACTGGCTCTTCTCACTCCTACAAGATGTTATTCCTCCTTGCCCTATCACGATATCATCAGCTTCCCTATCTTTCATCTAACATTTTACAATTCCTCAAAATTTTCCTTCATGCTTCCCATACCTCTAACTCTCCATTTAATAACTCCTCTCTCCAAACTCCTAACTGACAAATCATTTGTTCTCTGGCTTTCTTGTTACCTTGTTAATTACACTCAAAACTTTTCTTATTTTCAACAAATATTTGTTGATAACATCTCACCCACTCATCTCAAATTGCTCCTCTTTACATAGCTTCTTCACACTCTCTTAACTTCTCTCTTTTTTCGCCATTTACTCTTCCTCCTTGCATCATTCTTTACTTTGTAAAAAACTTCTCATATGCTAACTTTTTCTCCACCATCGCTCCTCTTACTCCTCTCTGCACCCATTTCCTGTAACCACCAAAACTTCTGCTGACCTCTAAAACACTACATTTTTATACCTCACCCATACCTCTTAGACACCATTGCCTATGCTCTTCATTAGCCCATCTAATCCTCCTATAGCCTTGTTTATATCTTACCCTACTGCCTCCTCTTTTAGGTTTATAAACCTTTACACTCATATCTATCCCCTGATGCTTCTATTCTCCTGTATCCCATCTACTTTACTCTCAGTGTAGCTACAACTAGCAAAGTGTGACTCTGATATATCTGTGGCCCTTCTCATTAAACATGTACATCCTGAAGTCTACTCAACAGTCTTTTATCTACGAATACATTAATCCATCAAAACTACTGTCATTTAGCCCTACATCTATCGTGTTATACTTATTTATCCTTTTTTCTTGAAAATATGTATTTACCTATAACTAAACCCTTTCTATTACAAAGTAATCACAAGGGGCTCCCTCCATTATCATTTTACACCTGGCACCCAAAACTTACCTACCTCACCCTCTCTAAATGTGTTCCTATCTTTAGCATTCAAGTCCCCATACCACATTTACTCTCTCACTTGGTTCAAAGGCTCCTATACATTCACTTAACATCTCCAAATCTTCCTCATCTTCACTCTGCATTCACTCTCTTCTCCAGGTGCATACACGTTATTATGACCACTTCTCGCATCCAACCTTTACTTTAATCCACATAATCTTGAATTTACACATTCATGATTCTCTTTTCTCCTTCCATAACTGATCATTAACATTATGCTACCTCATTCCTTTGCTCTAACTCTTCAGATACTCCAGGTTTAATCCCATGTTATTTCCCCACTGAAACATATCCTACCCCTTCAGCTTGTTTCGATTTGGACCAGACATTCCAACTTCTTTTCATCCATAACATAGCAATCATCTTGTTTCTTGTCATGAAACCGCACTACATCCACGCACAATTTAGCAACCCAGTTCCTCCCATACACCAGATTTCTTCTCTTTTTTAGTTATTGTATACAGGAGAAGGGTGTTAACTGCCCATTGCTCCTGTGCATTTAGCTCGCCTCATACGACACGCATGCTTACGGAGGAAAACAGATTCTTTTCACTTCCCCATGGACAATAGAAGAAACGAAAAAAGAACAAGAGCTATTTTAGAAAAGGAGAAGGAAAAACCTATGTGTATTGTATTATATATATGCATGTGGTGTCTATTGAAGGGGCACCAAAGTGTAAGTTTGGTAGTGCAGATATCTGTTATCTTAGCGTTGTTTATGAGACAGAAAAAAGAAACCAGCAATGGGCTACCATCATGCAAAACAGTTACAGTTTTTGTTTCACAGTCATCTGGCCAGGACGGTAGTAACTTCCAGCGGTGCGTTGCTGTCTACCAACCTACTACTCACTTATCTTCAACATTATTGCAACTCCTTCTTTAGCTCTAAACTCTATTTGAAACCCCTCGACCCTAATCCCATTTATTTATATATATATATCATATATATTATATATATATTATATATATATATATATATAAATGGGATTAGGTCAGCGGGTTCAAATAGAGTTTAGAGCTACAGAGGGTAAGCCATAATGTTGAAGGATAAGCTGTGGCAGGAAAAGAGGGGACTAACAAAAATACATAAATTCATAGGATTATGTGAGTATAAAAAAGATGGATGTGAAAAGTGGGTTAGTAGTACGCGTGTATGCCCCAGGAGCCTGTCAGTAGGATGTGAAGAGGACGGGAGAGAGAGATGATTCTGGGAAATGTTGAAGTGAATGTGTGGGGTAGTTTGAATCCAAGTGTGAGGTTATGGTGGTTGGGGATTTCATGCTAATAGTGCCCCATCACAAAAATGTTATGGAGTGGAGTAGTAGCTTAAATTTGGGTGACCAGGGGTAAATGTAAATGGGGAGCCTTTAATTGATCTATGTGTGAATGAATTTGGTAATATAGTAATACTATTTTTATGAAAAAGAGGATTAAAATAAATATAAAAGGTAGATGTAGCACGTATGAAAGTAGTTTGTTTAGGATTATGTATTGGTGGGATAAAAAGGTTGGATGGGTTAGGCTCAGGATGTACATGTTTATAGAGGGGCAACTGACTATATCAGAATTATTCAATATTGTAGCATACAGTTAGAGCTAAGAGGTATATGGTAACAAGAAGGAAGGTGGGCAACAAGTAAGAGGGAGGTGATAGTGTATAAACTAAGGGAAGGAGGAAGTTGGGCGAGATATAAGGACTAATTGGGCAGAAAGGTGGGATAGTGCAAGATGAGCTCCCCCCAGTGGGAGGGTGAAGAAGGTTGTGAATAGGTTTTAAAATGCAGTATTAGAATGTGGGCAGAAGTTTGTGGTTGTATAGAGATCAGGCCCCGACGAGGAAAGAGGAGTGATTGGTGAATGATGAAGGAAAGGGTGTGATAAAAGGATAAAGAGTAGTTTACTGAGAGGTTTTACAACAGCAGAAGTTGTTGAGAGCAGAGTATATGGAGATTAAAGAAGGTGATCCCCCCCCCCCGCGATTGGCGAGAGTGCAAAAGCCGAGAGCAGATGATAGAGTGGAGAGCACTGTCAAGAAAATTTTAATGAAATAAGAAAAAATTTGGAGGAGTTAAAACAGTTAAGGAAAGCTAGCGGTAAATTATGGATTTGGTCCGTTTAAAACAGCAGTAGGGAGTTAGTAGAATGCGGGGAATAATGCTAGGTATTAGGTAGATGCGCGAGAATATTTTGCGGAACTTTTAAATGCCAAAAAGAGGCATAAGAGGAGGCGGTTAATTTCATGCACTGGCCAGGGGGGTATACCATCTTTTAGCGGAGTGAAGTAGGAGAGAATGTAGTGTGGTGGACGGTAACGCTGGAGCTTACGTAGAATGAAAGGGGGCTAAAGCAGCTGGAACTGATGGGATCATGACAGAAATGTTAAAGCAGGGGGATAATAGTGTTGGAGTGGTTGGTACTTTTGTTTAAGAAATAAATGTATGAAGGGGGAAGGTACTAGGGATTGGCGGAGAGCCATGTATAGTCCCTTATATAAGAGGGAAGGGACAAAAGAGATTGTAAAAATTATAGAGAATACGTTTACTGAGTATACCAGGAAAAATATGTATACGGTTAGGGTTATAATTGAAGAATTAGAGGTAAGAAGAATGTAGATTGCGGGTGAGCATGGAGGCTTCCCCTCCCCCCCACCCCGAGGTAGGGGATGTGTGAGATCAAGTGTTTACATTGAGCATATATGTGAACAGTAATTTAGATAAAGGTTGGGAAGTTTTAATTGCATTTATATATCGGACTTTGAAAAGGCATATGATAGAATGGATTAGAGGAGCCAATGTGGCAGAGTGTTGCAAGTTTATGGATAGGTGGTAAGTTACTAAATTCTGTAAAGAGCTTTTATGCAGGATAGTGAGGCTCAGGTTAGGGTCGTCGTAGAAGAGAGGCGAATACTTACCGCGAAAAGTAGGTCATAGACAGGGATGTGTAATGTCACCATGGTTGTTTAATATATTTATGATGGGGCGCCACCTTGTAAAAGAAGTAAATGCTAGGGTGTTCGGGAGGAGGAGTAGGATTGAATTATGGGGAATCAAATTCAAAATGGGAATTGACACAGTTACTTTTTCGTGCTGTCACTGTGCTTATGGGAGATTCTAAGAAAAATTGCAAAGGTTAGTGGATGACCCTCTGAATGGTGTGTAAAGGTAGAAAGTTGAAAAGTGGAACATACAAAGAGTAGATGATGAGGGTTCAAATGACATTTAGATAAAGAGAAAATATGGATATCAATTGAGGGAGGGAGGAAGTATGTTCACGAAGTGAAATGTTTTCAGATACTGGGAGTTGACGTGTCGGTGGATGGATTTCTAGAAGGAGATGGGTTAATCTTAGAATGAAGTGACGCAAAAAAGGTGAGTGGTGCGTTGAGGTATATGTGAGAGTCAAAAACGTTAGCTATGGAGGCAAGAGGAATTGTATGAAGTATTTAGTACCAACATCTTAATATGCGATGTGAAGCTTGGGTGTAAATGCAGCAGCCCCCCTTAGACGGTTGGAGCGGTGCAGGAATAGTCCATGGTCTAAGGCAATGTGTGGTGTAACTATTATGCAGACAAATTCGGAGTGTGGAAATTAGGAGAAGGTCGTGGAGTTATAAAGCATTAGTCTGAGGGCAGAAGAGGTTGTTGGGAGGTTGGTTGGTCATTTAGAGAGAATGATCAAAGTAGAGACATGGAAAGATATAAATCTTTTGGGCGAAGCGAAAAGAGGGTAGGGTCGTCTCGAAAGGGTTGGGAAAGAGGAGGTTAAAGGAGGTTTTGTGGAAGCGAGGGGCTGGGACTTCCAGCAAGCGTTGCATGTGGTGTTAGCATTGGAGTGAATGGGACGAATGATACTTGGGACTGCACTGATTGTTGAGAGTGTGTGCAGGGTAATATTTAGTGAAGGGATTCAGAGGGAAAACGGTTATTTTTTCATTTTTATAGTCGGATGGTGGGTCTGGAAAGGGACATACCAATGCCTGCACTTTAAAGGACATGGTTTAGGGATATTGTCGATGTAATATTTGGTGGGAGTATGTTGTGTATCTCTATTTGTATATGCCTTCTAAACGGTTGTATTCTGCGGAACACCTTGCAAAAGCAGTGATAATGTGTGGTGTGTTGAAAGTGTGAACTAAATGATGATGAGGATTATTTTCTTTTTGGCGGTTTTCTTTCCTTTTATTTGGGTCACACTGCCTCGGTGGGAGACGACACCTTGTTGAAAAAAAATATATAATTATATAATATCATATTTATATACCTTAAGTATATTTATATATATATATATATATATAATTATATATATATTATGATATTTTCCACATAGTGCGGCGTCTCGCCCAACCGAAGGCAGTGGTGACCCAAAAATAGTAAAGAAATTCCAAAAGCCGAAAAATACTCTTTCATCACTTCAACACTTTTCTCACCACACTCACACATTATCACTGCTTTGCAGAGGTGCTCAGAATACTAACAGGCTTCAGGAAGCATTATTAATGTATAAAAGATACACAACATATCCTCCAAACTGCAATATCCCAACCCCTTCCTAAAGTGCAGGGCATTGTACTTCCCAATTTCCAGAGATCTATATGAACATAATCGGTTTCCCTGAATCCTTCTCTAATTATTACCCTGCTCCACACTCCAACTAGATGTCTCTGGTTACCAAGGTATCATTTCGCCTCATTCACTCCTATATAACACGCTATGCCGCTTGCTGGAAGTCCACAGCCCCTAGCCACAAACTCCTCTTTATCCCTCTTTCAGCCCTTTCAAGGACAACCCTTACCCTCTTCCTTCCCCCTATAGATTGTATATGCTTTCCATGTCATTCCTACTTTGATCCATTCTCTCTAAATGACCAAACCACTTCATCCAAACCCTCTTCTGCCTCTGACTAATGCTTTTATTAACTCGCACACCTTCTCCTAATTTCCACACTCACGAATTGTTCTGCATAATTTTTACACCACACATATGCCCTTAGACAGTGACATATCCACTGCATCCAAGAACCGTGCTCTCGCACTGTGCTTGCGTTTACCACCCCAAGCTTTACATTTATCATAAAGAGTGTTGGTACTACTATACTTTATACATTCCTCTCTTTGCCCTCCATAGATTACGTTTTTTGATCAAATTATACTCAAGCACCACTCAACCTTTTTTCCATCATCAATTTCTAATGATTAACCTCATCCTTCATTAAACCATCCGCCAACACGGGTCAATCCCAAGTATCTGAAAACAATTGACTTCTTACCATACTCCTCCTCCCCAATTTGATATCCATTTATTTCATTTATCTAAATCATTTGAAACCCTCATCACCTTACTTTTTCTTATGTTCACTTTAAACTTTCACATTTACACACATTCTCAATCATCCACTAACCTTTGCAATTTATTCTTTGAATCTCCCATAAGCACAGTATCATCAGACAAAAAGTAGTAACTGTCGTCATTTCCCATTTTGAATTTGATTCCCATAATTTAAATCCCACCCTCTCCCAAACACCTAGCATTTACTTCTTTACAAACTCCCATCTATATATATATTAAACAACCATCAGGTGACATTACACATACCTGTCTAAGACCTATTTTTACCGTGGATGTATTCTCCCTTCTCTACACACCCTAACCTGAGCCTTCACTATCCTCATAAAAGCTCTTTACAGCATTAGTACTTACACCTATTTCCACTATAGTACTTGCAAACATCTGCCGCATGGCTCCTCTATCCACTATATCATATGCCTTTTCTAAATCCATAAATGCAATAAAAAACTTCCTACATTTATCGATAATAACTGGTCACATATAGGCTTCAAAGTAAACACTTGTCTACACATCCCCTACCCACTCTGAAGCCTCCTGCCTCATCCGCAATCCTACATTCGTCTTACCTTCCTAGTTCTTTCAATTATAACCCTTCCGTATACTTTGCCTGGTGTGCTATACTCAGTAAACTTATTCCTCTTTAATTTTGACAATCTCTTTTGTCCCTTTTCCCATTAAATAAAGCGGGACTATACATGCTCTCCGCCAATCCTAGGTACCTTCCCCTCTTTCATACATTTATTAAACAAAAGTACCTAACACCCTCCAACACTATTTCCCCTGCCTTTTGAAATTTCTGTCATGATCCATCAGTTACAGCTGCATTACCCCCTTTCATTTCTACGTAATGCCTCACGTACCTCCACAACTTAATTCTGCTCTTCTTCACTCCTAAACGTTGTCTTTACCTCCCTCGCCTGTGTATGAAATTGAACCCGCCTCCCTTTCTTCTTCACTCATTTTAAATGTTCCTCAAAATATTTTCGCCATCTACTAATACCTCCCCTCCCCATTACTAACTCCCTACTTGTTTTCAACTGAAACAAATCCAGTACTTTCCCTAGGCCTTTCTTATACTTGTTTAAACTCGCCTGCCAAAATTTTTTTTATTTTCATTAAAATTTTTCTGACAGTGCTTCTCTCCGCTCTCGTACATCCTCCCCGCTCTCCCTTTTGCCCTCTCTCACCACTCTCTTCACCTATTCTTTTACTCTCCATATACTCTGCTCTTCTTATAACACTTCTGCTTTGTAAAAATCCCTCTGTAAGCTACCTTTTTCTCTTTTTATCACACCCTTTACTTCATCATTCCACCAATCACTCCTCTTTCTGCTGCCCCCACCTCCTATAACCACAAACTTTTGCCCCACATTCTAATACTGCTATTTTTTAAAACTATTCGAACCCTTTCAACCCCCCAGCTACTCATCTTTGTCACTTGCCACCTTTCTTGCCAATAGTCGGCTTCATACTCTCCCCCCCCCCCCCCCCCCCCCCCCCCCCCCCCCCCCCCCGCCCGAAATTCCTCATCCCTTAGTTTATAAACTTTCACCTCTGTTCTACTTGTTGTTGCCACTTCCTCTATGCAAGAATTACCCCCATCCAGATACACGCAAAAATATAGTGCGACCCCCGTACCTTAAGAGCACCTCCCAATGCGACAATTTGTAAGTGTTTTATGTAAGTGTCGTTTGTACGTGTATGTTTTGCGGGCGTCTGAAAATGGACTAATCTACTTCACAATATCCTTATGGAACCAAATTCGGTCAGTACAGGCACCTGAAATACTTCTGGAATGAAAATAATATCGTTTTAACCGGGGGTCCACTGTATCATAATAACTAGGAAATAATAGGAAGGTGGGGTTAGGGTCCGTCCTTGAAAAGGTTGGAGGAGAGGGTGTAAAGTAAAGGAGGTTTTTGCGGCGCGAGGGGCCCTTGGGCTTCAGCAAGCGTGCGTGGTGTTGGTTTAGATAGTGAATGAAGGACGAAACTGTATTTGGGACCTGACGAGGGTTGGAGTGTGTGCAGCGCGTAATATTTAGTGAAGGGATCAGGGGAAACCGGTTTATATTTTTATATAAGCCGGACTGAACTCCTGAAATGGAAGTACAATGCCTTGCACTTCTTTAAAGGAAACTTGGGATTGGGTTGGAGGGATAAGTTGTGTATCTTTAATTATGTATATGCTTCTAAATGTTGTATCTGAGCACCTCTGCAAAAACATTGACTTATGTACGTGACCCGTGAGTGCAAATGTATGAATGATGATAAAGTATCCCTTTTATGTGCGTCACCCTGCCTTGGTGGGAGACGGCAGACTTTGTTAAAAAAAAATAAACACTAAGTTATTTTCGTATTGGAGAATTCCAATACAGGAACATCAATAGACAATTTTGGCGAAATAATGAAATACATCTTCAGATTGTAGTTTTCCAGGTTATACACGTGCTCTCATCTTGCCGTATGGATAAATCTTCGGTAGCTTCAGTGCTTACAGGTAGGGTCAACTGTTGTCATTTGGAGGTTGCAAGACAATTAGCAGAGAGAGAGATAGATAGTGGAACAAATAATCATCAATATACCTATTACATATTTGGAATTAACAGCAATACAGTGGATTTTCCAGTGATGTAAATTTAATTTTCTAGGTCAGAGCTTGACTTACCGTAGGCCAGTGTCTTGGAATTGCCGTAGATTTAGATGTCACCTTATGACTTCTAAGGTATCTATTCATTGTTATAAAATTAAGCTGAAAATAATGTACTGTAATATCCAGACAAATTTATGCTCTACAATTTGTTCCACAGCTGTTTTATTACCAGTTATTGAGCTCTGCAAGTTTGGGTTTGAGTATATTCCTAGAGCTCTTTTGACCTACTCAGCCAGTTGTGTCCACCATCACCCTGTGTTTTCTTCGTAATCCTATCTTGGCTCCTGCAGTTCTGTGGTGGGTTATACATCACTCCAATGACTACTTCTGTTCTCCGGACTGAATTGTACCTACAATGTAGTCTCTTCTCCAATCCATGTCCATGCCTTCCATTTCCTCGAATCCCCATCGGTGTTTTATGAGAGTGCAACCCTCCTCCCCTCTACTTCCTTTCTATCTTTCCTCCAGGATTTTGATATCCCATTGGGAAGATTGTGTCTGTTATTGTTCAGTGAGTTTTGTTTCTGTGATTGCTATGATGGTCTGGGGGATTTTTCACTGATTCTTTCGTTCCCACTCCTCTTGTTGATTCGTTATTCCATCATCGCGTTTGTGTACCAAACTTTCAGTTTCTCTTATATCATTGTGTCATGCAAGATTATTGGGGTTGGTGGGGCGATGCGAGTGCCCTTGGTGGGGGCCTATATGGGGCTGTGGTGTAGGTGGGGTTTGTGATGTGAGGGTGGGGTCCAGAATGCCCATTAGGGACAGCTGTTGGGTGAGTTTGTGATATGGGGGTTGGCCGGTGGCAGAGGGAACAGTGGGGGAATAATGGGTTGTTGATAGGTTGCTCGGTAACGTTGGGAATGTTGCGGTTGGATGGAGGCTTTTGGTGGGGATTCTGTGGGGTTTTGTGTTGGCCTTCCTCTGTGTCTGGGTCCTACTCATTTTCGTCATTGCCTCTTGTTCCTCACTTGGCGTCTCTGTACCCTCTCTTTCAGTGTTGTCCTTTCTGTCTTGTGTTTCTCGTCGATGGTAGAGGTATACTCTCTGGTTCCACTGTTTGTCCCTCAGTCTTTCTTTCTCTTGCAGAATCCTGTTCGAACTGATTCTTCCTTGAAAGGTTACAATGACCAGGGTATCCATCCACTAGCACAACCACCAATTCTCTGAAAATTGTCACCTGGGGTATATCGCCCTCACCTATTGTATTCATGAGCCTTCATCATTTTTTTCTCCTCATGTTTCTTTCTTTCTTCCATAGTTGTCCCTTGGCTTCTTGGAGCCGTACAACAAAAACTTGAACCTCGCCCTTTTCCTCCTCCCACTGAGTCTCCAATCTGCTTCCTCTGAGGCATTTTATTTCCTTCATTGACGTGCTTTTGCCTTCAGTCCCTGTCATCTCTGTAATTCTATCTCAGTGACTGTCTTTCATGAACCTGCTGTCCCTTGCTACTGCAGTTGGTGGTTAGAATCTCTGGCATATTGCATATCTTCATGTCTGCGGACCTGTACGTCATTTGATCTTCTTAGTGTGTCCTCGTCTTTTCCTGGCCCAACGTGGGTCTGATAGGGCCTTCGTGTACGGCACATGTCTCTGTTGTTTGCTTACCGTCCATTGTCCTGCGCCTGACATTTTTGGAATTTCCTGATGTCACATCTGGTTTGTCATTTGTCTCTCTGATCTGTTTCAGGCTTTGCTGTTTCTCATCTATTGCACTGTAATCCTTGCTTTGCTGCTACGACCTGTCATCCCACTTCATGCAACCTTCAGCTATCACTCCTCCTTTTTCTTACCAAGCTCTACTCTCTTGTGTGTGTGTGTGTGTGTGTATATATATATTATATTTATATTATATATATATATATTATATATTATATATATATATATATATATTATATATATATTTATAGATATTATATTTTTTTTTTATTTTTTATCTCACTGGGCCGATGCCCACCAAGGCCAGGGTGGCCCGAAAAAGAAAAATTTCACCAACATTCATCCATCACTGTCTTGCCAGAAAGGGTGCTGTACAACTACTGTTTTTAAACTGCCAACATTAACACCCCTCTTCAGAGTGCAGGCATACTGTACTTCCCATCTCCAGGTCACTCAAAGTCCGGGCCCTGACGGTTTCCTGAAGCCCTTCTAAATGTTACTTTGCTCACACTCCAACAGCACGTCAAGTATTAAAAACATTTGTTCTATTCACTCCTTTCTAAACACGATCACGCATGCTGCTGGAAAAAGTCCTAGCCCCTCGCACAACAAAAAACCTCCTTACCCCTTCCCTTCCAAACATTCCATAGGCCGACCCCTACACACCCGCCTTCCTGCCACTTCCCAACTGATACACTCTTGAAGTTACTGTTACGCTCATTCTCTCTACTAATGTCCGAACCTCCTCAACAAACCTTCCTAGCCCTCGGGACAACAGTATTTGTAAATCCCGCACCTCATCCTAACTTCCAAACTAGCATTCTCTGGCATTATTTTCACACCTCCCTATTTGCCCTAGACATGACATCTCCACTGCCTCCAGCCTTCTCCGTCGCTGCAAATTCAGCCAATGATTCCACACCCATTTAAGACGTTGGTTAAAAAACTATATCTCATACATTTCCATCTATGCACTCCAAGGACAAAGTTCTCTGTCTCCACAGACGCATAAGGTGCACCACTCACTCTTTTTCCCTCATCAATTGATGATTAACCTCATCTTTCATAGACCCATCCGCTGACACGTTCCACTCCCAAATATAGAATCGTTCACCTCCTCCATTACTCTCTCCACTACAATCTGATATTCAATCTGTCATACCTAATCTTTTGTTAATCCTCATAACCTTTACTCTATTCCTGTATTCACCTTTAATTTTATTCGTTTGAACACCCTACCAAATTCATCCACAATAGCTGGCAGCTTCTCCTTCAGAATCTCCCAAGTGCACAAGTGTCATCAGCAAAGAGCAGCTTGTGACAAACTCCCACCCTGTGTGTTTTCTTTATCTTTTAACCTCCCGACTCTTGCCAAGAAACCTCGCATTCATTTACTTCTTCTTACAACCCCATCTATTAAATAATATTAAACAACCACAGTTGACATACTCATCCTTGTCTAAGACGAAGCATTCTTGTACTGGGGGAAAAAATTTCCATCTTTTCTAATACTCTAACTTGAGCTCACTTTCCTCGTTATAAAAACTCTGCACAGCGTTCAGTAACCTACCTCCTACACCATTCACTTGCAACATCTGCCACATTGCCCCCCTATCCCCTGTCATACGCCTTTTCCAAATCCATAAATGCCACAAAGACCTCTTTGCCTTAACTAAATACTGTTCACTTATTATGTTTCACTGTTAACACCTGAGTCCTCACAACCCTAACTTTCCTAAGCCTCCTATGTTCATCTGTCTATCCTATTCTCGTCTTACTCTTAATTCTTTCAATTATAACTCTACCATACACTTTACAGGTTATTCACTCAACAGACTTATCCCCCTATAATTTTTGCCACTCCTTTTATCCCCTTTGCCTTATATACAAAGGAAACTACTGCATGCTCTCTGCCATTCCCTAGGTACCTACCCTCTTCCATACATTTATTAAATAATTGCACCAACACTCAAAACTATTCCACCTGCCTTATAATCATTTCTATCTTTTGTCCCATTCAAATCCCGGCTGCCTTACCCCCTTTCATTTTACCTACTGCCTCACGGACTTCCCCCACCACTCAACAACTGGCTCTTCCTCACTCCTACAAGATGTTATTCTCCATGCCACTATACACGAATACAGCTTCCCTATCTTCATCAACATTTTTACAATCCTCAAAATATTCCCTCCACTTTCCCAATACCTCTAACTATCCACTTTAATAGAACTCTCCTATCCTATTTTTAATGACAAATCCATTTGTTCTCTAGCCTTCATTATACTTGTTAATCTCACTCCAAAAACTTTTTCTAATTTTCAACAAAATTTGTTGATAACAGCTCACCCACTCTCTCTTTTGCTCTGTTTTTACTTGCTTCACCAATCTTTAACCTCTCTCTTTTTCTCCATATTACTCTTCCCTCCTTGCATCATTCTACTTTGTAAAAACTTCTCATATGCTAACTTTTTCTCCCTTTACTACTTCTTTATCATCCAATCATTCCACCAATCGCTCATCTTCCCTCCATGCACCCATCTTTCCTGTAACCACAAACTTCTGCTGAACTCTCTAACACTCATTTTTACAAACCTACCCCATTCCTCTTCGGAACCCATTGTCTATGCTCTCATTAGCCATATATCCTCCAATAGCTGGTTATATCCTTTCCCTAACTGCCTCCTCTTTTAGTTATTAACCTCACCTCTCTCTTCCCTGTTGTGCTTCTTTCTCCTTGTAATCCCATCTACCTTTTACTTCAGTGTAGCTACAAATAGAAAGAGTGATTGATATATCTGTGGCCCCGCGATAAACATTGTACATTCCTGAAGTTACTCAACAGTCTTTTATCTACTATATCATATCCAACACAAAAACTACTGTCATTTCGCCTACTTCTTATCTTGTATACTTATTTACTCTTTTTCTTAAATATGTATTACCTATAACTAAACACTTTCTATACAATAGTTTCAAATCAAGGGCTACCTCCCAGTATTCATTACACCTGGCACCCCAAACGTAACTTCCACACCCTCTCTAAAAGTTTCTCTCCTACTTTAGCATTCAGGTCCCCTACCACAATTACTCTCTCACTTGGTTCAAAGGCTCCTATAAATTCACTTAAACATCTCCCAAAATCTCTCTCTCTCCTCTGCATTCCTCTCTTCTCCAGGTGCTTAC